TTATTATTATTATTATTATTATTATTATTATTATTATTATTTATTATTATTATTATTTATTATTATTATTATTATTATTATTATTATTATTATTATTATTATTATTATTATTATTATTATTATTATTATTATTATTATTATTATTATTATTATTATTATTATTATTATTATTAATTATTATTATTATTATTATTATTATTGTTAATATTTTTATTATTCATACAGATTATTACAATTAAAATTTTTTTCAATAAATACAATAATTCCAAACCATTTATAATTAACAAACATAAAATTACCGTGAACAAAGTGTAAAATTACCTGTTAATAATAACAGTACAAATTATATACAGTGATTTTGCGCATAATTCTGCAAATTTCAACTTTTCCTCGTCATTACCATTATCAATGAATAAAATTATAGGTTGCAATTGATGCGTTAAAATATCCGAAGTAAATCCATTACTTATATCTATCTGCATGTTTAAGTTATAATATGAATTAAAAAAGTATATTATAAATTCTTCGAAGTTGCAATCAAATAAAAAAAATCTATTTGAAATAATATCGAAATATTAGCTTTAGAAAAATGACTATTTTAGAATTAAAATTAGGTTCTTCTTTCACCATTGCAAAAAATAATTTCTTCATTAAATTACTTAAAAGTTTTTTTACTAAAATTTAGAAAATACCAAAAAATTGTAAAAATACCAAATTGAAGAAAAAAAGAAGAAAATGGAATAAAATATTTGCAAAAAACGACACTTACTACAGTTGGTAAAGATGAACGTATAACAAAATTGGTCAATTCCGGAATTTCATAAATGCTCGTGAAATCAATTCGTTTCCGTTTTTCCAGTGCACGAATTGTATAAACAGTACTAGGAGAGCTAAAAATAATTCGGATATTAATTATTGGCATTTTGCACCTCACTTTAGTGACACATTTTAAAATTTAATTTCGAATTTTTAAATGATTAATTTAATGACAATCGTACAATGCTAACTAATTTCACTAAAAGTTACATATAAAAAAACATGCATTTTTATTGCACAATAATAGAATAATCATTAAAATGGAAAATTTGAAAATTTTAAAAAATAAGTTTTAATATTTCTCCTGCAAAATAAATAAGTTTGCTGATAATTTGATTAAATTTTAAAGACGAAAAATTTCAAAAGACATTTTCTATGCTTTGAATATTTCAATATTTCAAATTATATTTTCAGGCAGTTTTTTCTCCTTTTTTTTCAAACTAAATTATTTGAGCTGAACATGCATTTTCAACAATTCTACTTTATCAATTAAATGTTCTCGAGAAAACAAAAAAGAAAACAAATTTTTTAATATACCTTTCCTTAATTAAATACACAAAATGATATCTTCCCTTCAAATTTTCAGCCATTTCCATAAAAATTTTAGCTTCATTACTGTTACGATCATCGAAAACGCCAACTGTTATTGCTGGTCTAATTTCGTCGAATAATTCCAATTTACCTTTAAAAAAATTGCAATTTATCAAACTTAAATTGAAATTTAAATTTTAAATTTTACAAAACCTTTTGCAATTATACCAGAAATCAAATATTTTATTTTAAATACTTTATTTTCTTGAAGGTGATTGCAAAATTCGATAAAAAACTCACAAATATTTGGAGTTACTCTATCTTACATTAGTAATTATTTAATTAACGACTTTAATCCATTTTGATAGATAAAGATTTCGTGAAAAATTTCCTACACAAATATTAATATTATAAATTTAAAAAAAAGGCGAAATTTTTTTTATTTTTTTATTTTTTTTATTTTTTTTATTTTTCAAATTATTGTTTTTTTAAATTACTGAATGTTCTCGAAATTTTTTTTAATGAAAAATTTTTGAAATTTTTATTAGTAAATAAAATGCAAATATTATCAAGCAAAATACCTGCTTTAATTTGTTTTAGTTCATCATCCGAATGAATTTCTTGTGCTGGTGATAATATCAAACTGCAAGACAATAATTATGGAAATGTTTATAATATTAGTTTGACTATATCAAAAATTAACATAATTGAAGAAAAATTCAATCGTCAATTACTCTTCCTCATTTTTCGTTTTACATCTGTACTCTCCTATCATTATCAATAATTTTACTAGTTTATTCGAATCTCACTGTCACTGTTTGCATGTTTGTATGTCATTATTATCATTGTCACAGGTTGTTATCATTATGGTTACTATCAATTTGCTTAAAAAAATTTTAAATGAGAAGAATTATGTTGTTAATCTTCAATTGTCCTATTTCATAATTATGATCTAAATTATGAAAAGGACATCATCTTCTTTGCTCGATTGTTCATGTTCTCTTCATTTTAAACTCTCGTTTATTCTTCAATGACACTTGTGCAAATCGTACTCATCGATATAAGCTAATTCAAATATTACAGTACCAAAATTGTTTATTTCAATCAATCGAAAAAAGAAAAAAAACAATCGATTCGCTTTTTGATTACTGTAAATTCCATCATCGTTATCATAACCTATCATTCTATTCAAGCAATAATTTTACATTTTTTTAGTTTAATCACTTTACATATCTTTATTATCATATTGATACATTCGTTGTTATTCATTCATTGGTTCCTTGTATCAAACGATTTGATAATATCTAGGTACAATATTAAATTTGTCATTTAAAGAAGCCAATTTATAGTTGAGTAGAAATTTCGAATCTATTTAATTTAATTGCTTAATTGCAGAATGGTAATGATAAACTTACAGTTGAACCCAATCGATGTAATACTTTGCATCACGCAATTCTTTAGTCTTTCCAAATATATCATTCGTCTTGAATGCGAATACCGTATGATAATCATTAGGTTTTGTGATATGATCAGCACATAATTCATCAAATTCATGACATGCTAATGCACCGAATATAAGTGTTGGATGATGCAAAACTAATGATTTCGACGCTTCCGCCCATAAATAAAATGCATGTTTACTTACATTATCTTCTGAAAAAAAAAGAAAAAATTAAGTTTAATTTTTAATTTTAAACATTTCCAAATACCAAAATTCCTTAATTATCAAACCACTTATTTAGTATTTCGATTGACTGATTATAATATAATGCATCATTTATGTTTTATCTTTCTTTTTTTTCTTCATATTACTTATAATCACATAAGTGACAATGCAAATGATTTCATTCAATGTTGTATTCATTTTTATTATTAATTATTAAAAAGGAATACAATATTAGATGAATGATATGGTACTGAATTATAGAAAAAAAAAAAACAATGAAATTTAGTTTATTAGAAAATATCAGAAAAAGGATATGATAAATTTTCAATCTTTTCATTTCTCCTTTCAATTATTCATCATTTCTTTCATTTCTACATTTAAAAAAAAGGTAAAATAATTTAAATGCATATAAATTACCAATATTCCAAAAAAGGATAAACGTTAGTTGATCTTTACTTATAGCATCATCTAATGCGCTTTCATCCATACGTTTTAATTGATGCCAATTTAATTGCTTGTCAAATGATCGTTGTTCCAATAGCAATGGTTCGATAAGATTAATTTCTAATGGAGAGCATAAAATAGTATTTTTAAACTTCGTTACTTTTGTTTTACGTTGCTTCGCCACTAATTCCTATAACGAAAAATTAAATTTTTGAAAAAAAGATTTCATTTTGAAATTTATTAATTTCAAAAATTCCATAAGCAAATTTTAGTGTAATTTAAATATATTTAAGGGATTTTTAAAACTTTTAAATTTACCTCATCCGATAATCGACGTACAAACCCAACTTCTTTATCTGCTTCTTTGCTACAGTATACAGTTAGATCATGTACAGTATGTTGTGAAAGTACACTGCAATTACTACAAACAAATAAAAAAAGACCAACCAAATAACAAATACAAATGTATTTGATTAAAGAAGAAAGTTATATAATAAGTTAGGCAAATATTAAATCACGTCACGTAATAAGTCACGTATTTATTACTCAAGCTATGCATTTATTGCATATACGTGTAAGTATTACTTAGTAAGTGGAATTTAGTATAATATAATGCAAGTGGAAAGTGAAATTTCATTTTTTAATGTTTTGGTTTTTTTTCTCATTAAATTAATCAATACAACATATCCAAACAATCAAAGAGTTATCATTTAGGTATAAGTTATTATAAACTGTAAGAATGTTTAGTAAAATCGAATATCAACTAATCACAAATCATAAAAAGCCCAATAGTTGTCAAATAGCTGAGGAAATTTATAATAAAATAAGTAGTTAAAGCTAACTACTTAAAAATAAGTGCTTAAGATATGTATTTAAAACTCCAATTAACAAAATAAACTCATAATGTTTTACAAAGCAGTAAATACAATGTCTCGCTCCCTTTTTTTTCATTTAATAAATTTTGTTTGAAAAAAAAATAAATTTTAAAAAAAAGACAAACTTTAGAAGTGATGCTTCAATAATTGCTTTCTTGTGGTTAAGTTTTGCTGCAATTTCATATACTGCATCACCGTTTTTCCTGAAATTTAAATCTGTCGTCAAAGTAAGTATTCCAGAAAAAAAAATGATTAAATTAGATTAAAAATATTTTCCGACTCCTTTAAAATTATGCTTCTTCAATTTATGACAAAAAATATTTAAACTAATCATAGATAATAGTATTTTTACTTAGTACTACATCCGAAACTAGCAAAAACCTTCGGAAGGATTTCATAAAAATGAAGATAATAATACTTGAATTGAAATTATTATAAAGCTTTAATATCGAGCAATTAATTATTTCAATTCTTTACTGAAATTTTTTTGACAAATTATAATATTTTCAGAACAAAGAAGCGGAAAAAAAAGGTGATGAAAATTACGGATCATCGATAATTAGCCAATGGAATGATTGTTGCAAAGAATATTGTAAACATTTCGATTGTTCTTCTTCTGTACAATCTATCTGTAAAACAAAGGAAAAAAGAAATGGAAAATTTTTATAAGACAAATAAGAAATTGGAATCGTTTCGTTGATTTTTTTTAAATCCTTTAAAGTTTAATATTAATTTGCAAACATTTATAGGCTTTTTCAATTATTTAGTTTTCAGAAAATTGTCACCCAACTTGCTTCAAAAACTTTCTGAATGATTAATGTGTTTTTGAAATAATCTATATAAAAAATAATTGATTCATACGTTTTCGATACTAATAAATTAAACATATAATTAATTTAATAGTTTGTGCAAACCATCCAAACAAGGGATTTTTTATTTTTAGTTATTGATGTCATATTTGATTACTCGGTCAAAATAATTTACTTTGATTTTTTATTTTATTAATGATAAAGCAATTTATACAATTCAACAAACAAATTCGGAAAATAATTAATTCAAATTTTGAAATTTTCAATAATTTAATCGAAAAATTTTCCAATTTCCTTTTCTAAAAGAAATCAAACCTTTTCAACTATTAAATTAACCCGCACTTCTCGTTTCAAACGTTGAGTAATTTCATCGAGTACAGCAAGCATATCATCACTGAAAAGTTGATCCGATTCTAGAGAAGAATCATGTCCATTCATGCTTTCAAATGTACTAACCTGATTTACAATTATACATATAAGTACAGCTTATTAGGATTTCCGATGGTACCAAACCGGGAGCTCGTGCAAATCCTGTTGCTTCATTCTGACCACTAAATCCTCCAGTCTTTTTCCTTGGACATTCAGCTCTAGAAATTAACAAAATTTTTGTTTGCTTACTTTTTATTTATATTTAATAAGTGCAATTTAAACAGTTAACGCAAATATCTTAATAATAAGGTAATAAATAATAACTGTTTACAACATTAATATTGTTTTTTAAATTGCTTAAGTACCTAATAAAACTTCAATTTTTTTATACTTAATAATCATACTTTAACATATGATTATATGATGAAGTATCACATTACACTAAACATGAACGTTTAGAATAATTCATTTTCGTTTAAATTAATTCCTATTAATTTCCATTTAATTACTTTTTTTATTGTTAATAGAGACAAAAATATTCATTTATTCCAAAATTACCTATTATTACATGCATAGTGAATGTCATATTTGACTGGAAATTATTTAGCTCAAAATTACTTAATTAAAATTAATTTCATTTTATTCCTTTTCATGAATTCTCATTGACTTATTTGTTTTATATTAGAAAATTATTGTTTTTTTGCATGACAATAATTTGATTAAAAAAATTGACAAAATTGATTTGCAATAAAAAACTTATTAAAATGATTAATATGAAATGGTTCTTTTAAAGATCATGAAAAAAGTTGAAAAAAAAAGTTTGTCGAAGTATGTTATGATTGAAACAGATAATTTGTATAACTCGTTGGATGTTTTAGATTAAAATTCCACTTTGGATCAAAGTATTAACATTTCCTTATTTTGAATTTCGCCACCAGATCTAAAAGACTCGCTTGATGTCGCAGATCGAAGTATCGAAGTTTCATCACAGACTAAATTATTATTGAATTTGAAAACATCAATCTTCAGTATGATATTCGTTCAATGAACAAAATGCTGGGTGAAGTGAGAAGGAGTACAAAAGGAAATGTGAATAAAAAAGAACAAGGTAGGAAGAAGACGAGTAGTAGTGTCGTTTAATGAATTATTGCATGTCACTTAATTGCATATTTTCTGTCCGATGTTCCGGATAACAAGTTTTTTTCTCCTATCAAATATTTCCGTATTTCCAAATATTTCAAATATTTCCGGATAGCAATTTTAGCTTCTATTCGAAATTTCGAGTCATTGAAATTTCATCCTATCATTTTTAATTTTTTAATTCGCCAACTAAAATTGAAAAATTAATGAAAAAGTTACTGTCATCATATGCATCCTTTATTTATAAATTACCATCATATAAAGATTATTGAACTTTTAGCATTTTCTTCCCGAAAAAACTTTTAAGCAAAAAAAAATTTTACAAAAATTTCACGAATAGAAAGTTTAAAACTTCAATGTTAAAAAATGAAAAAAAAAAAGAAGAAATTCATCTTACCTTACATTTGTTTCGATAAATACGATGAAAAAAGATAAATAAGAGAAATACATCACTTGCATCAACCAAATGTCATTCAACCAAGGACGCTTCTCAGTTCACCGAAATTTGGAAATAATGAATTAACACATAAATATATTTGAACGAACTTCAATGTCATTCAATTCACTATCGTAACAGTTCATTGTCAACCATCGAATGTACCGTTAATTTAAATTTAATTCCTATAATGCTAAAAATTGAGTGAAGAAATGAAAATGTTGCAACTTATTCAGTAATACTTATAATACCATTTTATTTAACTGATATGTAATTTAATACTTACTTGTCCAATAATAATAAAAAGTGATATATTTAGTTGATAATGCTAACAAAAGTAATAATTTCATATCTAATTAAAACACTTACCTAATCAATGATATATCCAATTAATGATTGCTTAATTATTCAATATTATAAACAAAATTTACAAGTGCTTTGGACAGTAATGAAATATACTACGACTGTAGTAATTGATAACTATATAAGATCTAGTTCTGTAGGACTGCGTTAAGTATACTTTTGTTGAAATAAATGCATTTTTTGCATGCTATACTACTTCAAATAATTCAATAACATTCATCTCAAGAGTAAAATTTATGAGACTTATCAAAAATTTATTTCAGTTAATTTACAACTGAACCGTCTAATAGTGATTGAAAATTGTATGTAAAAATTGGAAGAAATTTACAAATTGTTCCACATTTAAATATGTCATTAATTATGGATATTGCTGTGAATTTATGTGAAGGATTCTTGCAAAGTTTAAAATTATTGTAGTTCCAAAAACTGTTGTAAATCGAACCGTTTTTAAATTTAGGAAACTACTATATGAAATCAGAAATTATTGCAAGCTTAAACAATTGTTTTTGACCGAGAAATTATTATTAAGGGAATAAGGGCAAAACAATTGTTTCAGAATCGGGATTCACATTCAGAGATAGCCAATCGCTAATATTATCGAACGGCATTTGGTTTCGGAACTTCAATTAAACAGAATGAAAAATCTAAGCGTCGATTTTTATAACAAGCTGAAGCTTTGTTTCTGGTAAATAATGTGCGGAATTTCGATGACACCATTATTTTGAATTCCTGTTCACTGGTATTACATGGCAACGCCTAGAACATGTTTTATTAGCTTGTCACAAAAACCGGAGCAAACGACCAGACGGGGATTTCTCGGCAACAAGATAACAATAAGCTTGATAAATACCATTACTAACTTCTTTCCTTCAATAACATAAATTCGAATATAACCGTGGTTTATTAAATGAACTTCAATCTCCGCCAATACCATGTAATATTGCGTTTGATTTAATAGGGGAGGAAATAAAATTAGATGAAGTGAATCTGTGTAAGATAATACGAACAATAATAAACACCTGAAATGAACACCTGAAATGGTCAACTTTTTAACCAGGAAATTTATCACCGATTTTATTGCATCCATTTACTGATCTTTAATGGAAACATTAGCAAGGATATAACAAGATAACAAATAATCCAAAAAAATTACTAATCA